TGATCCTACCCCTGTGCCGTCAGGGGGCAAGAGGAGAGGGCTGTTGGTCATGTGCAGGGGTCTAGCATTAGGGGGGCCCTGTGTGTGTAATTCAAGGCTCCAGGACTCAGGCTCCTAAGATGTGGTTTTTTTTCCAGTGAGGAGAAATTGCGTATTTTAAAGGCTTAGCATAAACCAAACTTATGCACACCTCCACGCTGTGAAAAACACGATGGTAACTTCCGTCTGCCGTATATCGCAGTGTTTGTAACTTTGAGGCTTGCTGCCGGGAAGAGTTGAAATATCAATTCTATTCTTCAAACACCTAAAATATTATCATTAGCTACTGCATTATGTGTCACATTAATGCTATGAAGCACAGGTAATATTTACTCAGACTTCAGGGAATGGGCACGATGCCTGTGCTCGGATCCCTTGCATGTGCAGAGGAGCCAAAGCCAGGCTGCTTCTCCCCTCTGTGGCCACAGCTGCCAGCTGTAGCCTGTCCACTTGCAAAGCAGGTAGCGATGTAGGAACCTGGCTGGTTTGCAAGGCTGAACGCCCTTTTTTAGAGGAGTGGTGTGGGAATGAATCCCTTGGGATTGGGCGCTGGGTAACTCCTGTTGCTAATGTGGTACATAGTGGGGAAACGAATATTTAGGAGGCAAGGTTTTTCCTGCCTGCTCCCAACTGAAAATGCAGCACTGCATTGTAGCAGCTGTCACCAGTAGGCACTCAGCAAAGGGATTTGGATTTGGATCTGAGCATAAGGCAGGAGCTGGTGTTGAGTGTCTGGGAAAGGGCCGAGGATGTATGCCTTGAATCCTGCTCTCATCCTGGTCTCTCCTGCTCCAGTTCATTCACTGATCTTTTTCTGTTCAATGCTGCTGTCAAACCCATAGGTATAATCAGGAGAGAAGCGCACCAGAAACATAAATACTACAAAAATACCTTGGACTGAAAAAAAAAGAGGGAACAGTGGTTTTTTGGAACAATATTAATTTCCTGAGTTTTCAATGCTGAGGTGTCTTGACGCAGGAGAGCAGCTGTTAAGTGCCTCCACCATCAGATTGCTCTCTGCAGTGCCAACTTCTGTCTTGGTTTTGGTGTCTCTAATCCCTCCTGCTCTTTGTGCTCATATCTTTTCTCTGTCCTCATGAACACTGCACGGTCCAACTTGTCAAACCGAAAAGTGATATTCCTGCATCTTTTTACCAGCCCTGCCAGTCTTCTCATCTCTGACTCAGCCACCTCCTCCACGGTAGCCTGAGGGTGCCAGCTTTAGCCTGGCCAGGTTCCCCCCATATTCCTTGCCCCACTGCTTCCCGTCCCAGCTATCTGCAGGGACCGAGCATCTCGGGAGAGTAGGACTTGGGGAAATGTACAGTGGCATTTGAAACATGAGTCAGACAGCTGCTTCCCCCACCCCCAGTCCATTTCTGACCTCTGCTGTAACAACAATAATCCTAAATATTACTGTTGTTTTTTTTTTTTTTTTTTTTTTAAAAAGGTGTATTGTAAGGTTACAATGTGTGAGCTGGGGTTTCTTTTCCTTGCAAAACAAAGGCAGAGCTGCTTGGGTGGTCTGGCTGACGCTGTGGGGTGCTCTCGGGAAGGGATTTGGAGGACAGACCCAGGGCTATTGGAGGTCGCAGGGACTTGGGGTCAGGTTGGGGTGCTGGCAGCAAGTGCTGTTGGGTGTGCTGGTGCCATGGGCATTTTGGGGCCACCAGAGGGGAGGGAGGTGACCTCAGGGTGGGTGGCTGGTGGGGCAGTGAGTGACCTGTGTTATAAAGAAGCTGCGTACGCACAGCTTGGTGTTTATCCCCTTCTCGCACAGCGGCACTTGTATGTAAGGCAGCACCAGGTCTTTGGGGGCTGAGTTAAATGCAGGTTTGACATAAAAAAACCCCAAACAACAAAACATGGTAATTGTTGGAGGTGCCTAAAAAAGGTTGGCAATGTGAACTCATATCTGGCCAGGGACAGGGGTATAATTTTGTCACAGGTTGAGAGGAAAATACATCCCACGGTATCTGCGGCAGGGGTCGGGTAGGGAAGAAGAGGGAAAACATCTGCTGAAGGTGTGCGCATGTGTGAGAGCAAGCAGCTTAATGGTGCCCGTCTCGAGGCCGAGGGGCTGTGGGGAGAGCAGCGGGGCCAGGGCAGCACTGGGGCCTCCCTGCATGGGGGGCAGGAGGAAGGAGAAAAAAAAATGCTTGTCGCACTTGGCAGCTGTGTGGTCCTTGCACAGTCCTCACAGGGCCGACACGCGTGGTCCCCTGGTTGGTAATGATGGGGGCAAAAGGCAGGAGATTTTGGAGGATAGAATTAAGTGGGCATCCGCAACAGTAGACTGACACGTCTGGTTTCACAAGATGCTCTGTTGAGCCGTGGTGGTGTCACAGCACGGGAGATGCTTTCTGGATTCTGTTGTCTGCGGATGATACATCCCAGGCAAATTCAGATAATCTGCAGTTTATACAACCCTGGCTCAATCTTCACCCAGCTCAAGTTTCCTATAGTCACTGATTTTGCAGCACCAGCATCTCCTGTGAATTCCTGTAAACCTGCAGCCCTCGCCATGTCTCCTGGTCTGTACCCCCACCTCTGGGAATTTGGGTCCCTGCACCAAGGAGCCATTGCAGGTGACTGTGGTTGCCAGGGCTTTACAGCAGGGCAGGCCAGGAGCTGTTTGCTGCTGAAAGTGAACTGTGTTTCACAGGCTTCCCCTGCCACGGTGGCTCCCCGGAGTGGGGCTCTGCTGTGTGAAGGCCTCTTTCTTCTACCCAGGGCAGCAGAAACACCTCCTCCCACCCAGGGAGGACGTGCAAATGCTCCTCACAGCGCATCAATGCCGTCATTTACACTTCTCCCCCAATAAACCACTCATAGGCACCCTCCTCCTGGCCCCCTCACCTGTGGCTGTGCCCATCATCTGTGGCTTGGCTGTGGGGAGTACCCAGCTTGCAGAGCAGAGATTCATTGCCTGCTTCAAAGCAACCTATTTGTGCTTGTGGCATGTTTTTATTAGCAGAGAGGGGGTGTTGCAGGCATGGAGTATTTAGCAATGCCCAAATACAGGCAAGGAAGTTGCCTTCCTTCCACACAGGTTAGGGCAGAGGGAAAAGCCAGGTGTACAGCTGGGACATGCTGGTCCTGTCCTAAACTGCATGGGCAAAGAGGTGCAGTTGCACTGTGTCAGGGTGCATGCATGTGTGCACACGTGGAGGTTTGCAAACTCCCTCTCCCATTATCTGTGAGTGAGTAGGGGCTATCTGCACTGCTTCCTTACTGCCTTGTTTGGAGTAGATAATTCATGCTACACCAAGAAACCCTAGGGTATATGTGGAGCGTGTATATGTATTCATATATATAATTGAATGTACATGCCTGTGTGTATACATGCCCATACACCTGTGCACGTGTTGCCCATGTTTTCCAGAGCAGCGGTTTCATCCTCTGGCCAGCAGCTGGAAGAAGTGCTGGGGGTGCTACGCTCCCTCTGTACAGGGGGTGGGATCCTCCCTGCGCACCTCCATTTAGTGTTTCCTTTCTCCCTTGTAAGAGTGCGTGTGTGGGCATGAAAATAGATATGTCCTCTCCTCCTAGCACAGCATTTTGTGCTCCTGCCCCAAGGTGCTGGGGGAGGCTGAGTCCCAGCAGGTGAACGGTCCCACGTGGGTTTCAGAACCCTGGTGCATGGCACAGGGCAAATGCCGCTCCGAAGTGCACGTGTTAGGAGGATGCCATCCCCGGGATGGGGTCTGGTGCTTGACGTGGGTGACGCTGTAGTTGTTTGTGTGTGTCATGGCGGGAAGTGTGTGAATGGAATAAATTTAGCAGTCAAAACACAGGGCTGGCACAGTTGGTCATTAACTGCCAGCCTGTCTCGTCATCCTGCAACCACAAGGAGCTTTTTTTAGGGCTGGCGTCCCGGCGGAGGCCGGAGGAAGCGTGGGAGGCCGGTTCCCGGTGACACCTCCACGCGTGGCAGTGCTGCCCGCCGGTGCCATTGGCTGCCCCCTGCCTGGGGCTGGCGCCAGCCAGTGGTTAAATGCCCGTGCGGCCACGCTGGGGCACACAGCCCGGGGCATCCCAACACAGGCAGCCAGCTCGTCCCATCCCGAGCACCAGAAGAGATGCCAGCTTGTACCACATCTCAAGGTAAAGGTTTTGGTTTGTTTGGGTTGCTTTGGCATTGCATGGAGTGAAAATGGCAACGTCTGGGGATAGGGGTTGTAGATTTCCTTGCAAGTTTTGGTACAAAGCAGGAGAAACTTGTAAGCTGGCATGTAGGTGTTGCTTCATAAGGGAAGAAATGAGGAGTGTGATACTCTGTTCCAGTGCATTTCGGGCGCAGGCTGATGTGCAGTGCGGTTAGCGTGCCCCACGGGGATGCAGTGCTGGGCTGCTTAAGAGACTTGGAAAATGAGAGCAGAGCTGGAGGAAATCCCCCCATTGCTTTACCTGCCTGTGCAGGCAGCAGTGCCGCTGGGATGCCAGACTGACCCAGAGGCTGCTCCACAGGGTTATCTTACCGGGGTGCTCCGCTTTGGGATGGCGGGAGGTCTTGCAGGGCTGTGGGGACCGCACTGGGTGGGAGGCACAGCTCTGCAGCCGACGGTCTCGCGGTGCTGCCCATCTGTGGTGCCAGCTCCTGTCATGGTCACCAAGCTCAGCTGGGTGTTAGGTGATATTACTGCGGGAACAGGGAATTATGGAGGAGCTTTCTCACTCTTTAATGATGCTTAGACAAAAAATCTGCAAGAACATGGCCAGGTATTTCAAATCCCAAACTAAAGGGAAGTTCCTGTACAGGACATGCCAGGAGGTGGCATGAAGACAACCTTTGGCTTGTTGGATGATGTGCCAGGCTGAGCACCATGTGCCGGCACAGCAAGGCTGTATCAGTTGAAAGGGCTTTATGGGGCCAAGTTACAGCCAGGGGCACGTGCAAAGCTTTGCTCTAGCGTGCAAATAATTTGCTTCCTGTTGCAGCCACAGGGACCAAAACTGCCATGAGGGCCACGTTCCTGGTGCTGCTCCTCTGGGCCGTAGCCTGCGCTCACCCCGTAAGTACCCACTGGACAGGTACTCAAACCCCAAACCCCAGCAGTTTCGCCCAGCCAAGGCACGTGGATCACTGATCAGATGTTTCCTGGATGTGTTTAGGTGCCTGGCCGTGAGCCCGCCCGCCTCCGTCGCAGTGCCCAGCAGGAGGTAAGCGGGGGGGGGTGCCCCAGTCCCACAGGTGGCAGCTGCTTGTAGAGCAAGTCTGGGATGGGGAGCCAGCTGGCATCTTTGGACCAGGCACCTGGGGGAAGAGCTGCCGCTTCTGCCGGTCTTTGAGCTTTGCCCATCTACTCAGTCTTTTCAAGCTGGGTTGGTTTCACATCATGTTGCCTTGCCTCCCTGTGCACGTTCCCAATTCACCCGTGTTGGTCCTGAAAAAGGAGTTTCTGTGCTCTGAACCATCATGGTTTGGGCTTTTCTGGGTTGTCCTTTTGTTGGTGGCTACTTTTTTTTGCATCAGCAGGAAAAACTGGAGGGCTGAGGTGTGAGCAATGAAAAAGGCTTGAGCACTTGCATGGCTTAGGAGTGATGTATCATCCCGCCACAGTAACAGTAAACATGCAGTAGTGTTTAATAAACTAAAGCACCGTGTCATGTTTTGCCTCCAGGACACAGCAAGTGAAGATTACCTCAACAAGCTGGGCAACCTTCTGGGTGGTGGAGATGGCAGACATCCTCCTGCCAGTGCAGAGAGAGGGGACAATGCCCTTGCCGGGGACCCGGCAGGTGGGAATGCCGTGGGTGAGGAGCTGGGTGAGCATGGTGGCCGAGAGAAGGGAGACAGAGTTGAGGACACTCAGCGCCTGAACTGGGTGGACCACAAGGACACAAGCGCCCGGGATGGGAACAGCCTTGGTTTCCTGGTAAGTGAGCGGAGAGGGGTGTTTTGCTCTGCCAGGAAAGCACACTTAGCCCCAAATCTGGTGTTGGTCAGGGTAGTGCTTGGCCTGCATGGTGAGCAGTGCCGATAATGCCTGTGCATTGCAAGCCTTTGCATTTGTCTTCATTTGTCACCTCCATAGGAGGAGGATGCACGTGATGCTGATGATGGTGACAACGGAGAGCACCGTGGCACTGGAGTCAATGGGCTTCCCTCCCATGCTGGCGGGCTCCTGGATGAGGAGGATGACAGCGGGGATGACACCTTTGATATGAATGGGGAAGAGGAGGGGAGTGAAGGTCCTACTTACATAGCTGGTGCCGATGGGGTAGGCGAACGTGACCATGATGCTGGCCGTGGGGACGCCGGGGCTGGCAGAGGGCACGGAGACAGCAGCAGCAGTAGCAGCAGCGAGAGCACTGGGTCGGACCACTGGCAGTACAGGAACTACCTCAGCAGCCGGTATGAGCGGACCTACAGGCAGGGAGGGGGCAGTAGCAGCAGCCAGGAGGAGGAGAGTTACGACTTTGAGGACGAAGCCATGCAGGGTGACGACCCCTCCATCTTCGATGGCCCGGGCAGCAGCTACAAGGGGCGCCGTGCTGGCCCCCACGCGCTGGGGAGCAGCAGAGAGAGTGGCTGGGGGGCTGGCTCCCGCCGCTGGGAGGATGGTGACAGCAAGTCCCCAGAGGTGGAGGACACTGACTCGGGAGAAGACAGCCTGTCCACAGAGGACAACAGTCAGTCAGAAGAGCCTGTCACCAGCCAGTCAGAGGAAAAGAGTGCCAGCCGCTCCGAGGAGGACAACCCCTCCATGGAGGACGACGGCAGCAAGTCCAGGGACGGCACTGACGAAGAGTCAGATGAAGAGCCGGGAGAGTCCCTGGAGGACATCTCCCAGGAACTGGTGAGCACGTCCAGCGAGCGCAGTGGTAGCCAGTCCCAGGAAGGGCAGGAGGACCGGGAGTCTGCCGAGGACAGGAGTGCACCATCACCATCACCTGACAGTGAGTCCAGGGAAGACGAGGGCGACCAGAGCCAGTCCGCAGAGGACACCGTGGAGCAGTCAAAGGAGGATGAGAATGACTCTGACCCTGATGGGGACATGCCAAGCACATCAGCAGAGAGCCAGAGCGCATCACCGGAAGATGACGGCAGTCAAGAGGATAACGTAGGCGAGGACAGCAGGTCCACAGAGAGCAACAACAGCGAGTCCCAGGAGGACGATGATGATGATAACGACGAGAGCCACTCCCAGGAGGATGCCACCCGTGAGTCCAGCAGCCGTGGGGATGACAGCTCGCTGCAGAGCCTGGAGAGCAGGAGCCGCAAAAGGCGGCCGGGTGCCTACCACAACAAGCCTGCTGCTGACTACGATGACAACGACTGCCAGGATGGGTACTGACGTGTGCCTCACAGCCTCGTCGGTGCTGGGGGTACGGGGGGAGGAGGGGTTTAATTTATTTGCTATATAGCCTGGTTGACTTCTTTCTGAGAAGATGCTGTGGATAAAATGCAGGCAGGTTTGCCAGAGCTCAACCTGGGCACAACTACACAGGGTGCAAAGTGGGAGGTGATGCCAGACACAGGGGAAAATGCCAAACCACAGCAAGAAAAACCATTTCCTATACCAAACCAGAGAGCAGCTGAGAGCTGTGAGTGCCGGCAGGGTGATGCTGCCCACTTGCCACAAGGGCAAAGTGGTGGCTCGGCTCTCCGGGAGCCCTGCCTGAGCATGCTGGGCAGAAAGATCCCTGTATTCACCTCTTATATTTACCTACCACTGCCCTAAAAGCATCTGTCCAGACTCCAATGGGAGCCTTCCGTTAGCTCCATGTCCTGCACATAAGCAGCAAAAGCTACAGCTGGTGTGCACACGCGGTGCGTGGGCTCAGCGGTGTGTGAAGTACCACTTCAGAATGGGATGTATGTAATATTTTGTAAGAAATGTACAGAAAACATTATATTGTATCCTTTTTGCACTTGTATTTCAAAGCTGAAAGGTACCCTGTTGATTTCTTTAATTACCATTAAAACCAACAAACTCCACAATGGTGTGGTTTGAGGTGTTGCTGGTTTTCCTCTCCTGGGGGAGTCGGGTGCTGCAATTTGGGATTGGACTGGAGGGAGCAGGGAGCAAAGGCAGGCTGTTTGCATGGGGAGCTGCAGCATGCTGGGGTGAGGGGGAAAGCAGAGGCTGAGGGGTGTTCCTAGCCCACTATTTCCAGGCACCTGAAGGGCCACCCTTGCCCCTAGGTGACCCAGCAGTGACGCTGAAAAGCTGGCTAATGACCCCAGGAAGCTGGGCCTGGGGCTTTGCTATATTATGGCCATCACCTGCTGCAGTGTGAGCAAGGGTTGTTCTGCTCTTCCTGAGGTGCTGGAAAGGAGATGCCCCAGGACATGGGGGCTCTCCCAGACCACCGGTTCTGGGTGCCCGCAGCGGCCCCTGGTGCCAGGTGCCCTGCAGCAGAGATGCAGGTGAGCAGGGCAAAAGGGGTTATTGTGGGCTGGTACATCTTGGGTAAAGCCTCTCTTACTCAGTGTGCCTTTTATTTTTTTTCTCCTACCAGCAAGCAAGTAAACAACACATTATTTGTTTAAAATCCCATCCAGGCCCTTCTTTCTCGTTCATGTGTGTATGACAAGCTGTACAGCATGGGTATCGATGCTGATGGAGGAAGCTGCGGGCTGTTGCGTAGCTGCACAGTTTTACACTATGGAGTTGTGGCTCTGCAGGGGACAGTCTCCAAGGGGTCAGTGCGAGTGGGTGCATGCCTTTCAGCTGCCTGGGGTCAGTGGTGTCATTGCTGGGCATTGCAATACTGAATTCAAGAACCAGTAAAGAAATTAAATAATTTTTTACTACTTATAGCAAAACTGCACTTAATTTGTAGACTCTTACCACCACTACAAAAGCTGGGAGCTGAACAGCTCCTGGGTTTAGTGGACTTTATGTTTTAATTTCTGCCTTGTGTAACCTTTTTCTGCTTCTGTATGAGATCAGCTCTGAAAAGCACAGCTTCCCCATGCTGCTGCCCTGGGAACAGTCCTCTTTCCTGACCCTGCCTCCTTCACCCCACTGGTCCCCACTTCACAGTGGATACCTCGACTGTGACTTGCCCCATATTATTTGGACCTCTTCCATTTGTTGCCTGAGGAGTTGGGGTGCTGTGATGGTGATGATGCCCGTCAGGGTTGCGGGTTCAAAAACGCTGGTGCACAGCCCCATCGCTGGGGTGAAAGATGGCAAGCACAGATTTGGCTGCAGCCCAGAGGTGCAAAAAGGGCTGGGTGACAGCCGCCGCTTTGGTTTAAAATTGTAGCAATGATGTGTTTGCCGGCTCCTCTGCATGGCAGCGCCCACTCTCCCGTCTCCAGCGAGCAGTGCTGCCGCTCCGGCAGTGGAGACGTTCCAGGGTGCCGGCTCTGCCGCAGGACTGGCTTGCATCCCTGGGGCCATCAGAGGTGGTGTTTGCCTGGGGACAGCTGTTGGGCATGGGGATCGGCAGGTGGTTTTTTTTGGGTCTGTCCGGGAAAGTGAGGGGTGCCCCACAGCTCTGTGGTGAGCCCAGCCTGTGAGCGGGATGGCCAAGAGGTGGCAAAGGGTGGGATTGAACGGGCTCTGTGAAACTGCTTCTTGCAGTTTGTGCGTGACCCTCTGTCCACCCTCATCCTTGTGCAAGTGGCACTGGGTGAGCGGCAGCACGGCACAGCTGGGGAGGGGGCTGCTTGCCTTTGCCCCCTCCCCAAAGGGGACAATGAGCACTTGTCCTCCTTGTTTCGTGCACAGAGAGAAAAACCGGGTTGATTTGGCTTTAGTTTGAGCGGCAGGGGTGTGTTCCTTGCAAACAGGGCATGTGGCACCCTGCTGCACCCTGTGCTGGATGGGTAGCTGGCTGCACTCCCACTGCACGTGGGTCCCCTTCGCATGCCTTCCCAGGGATGTGCTGCGGTTGCACGCACGTCCCCGCCAGCAATGCCTGAAATTTGCCTCCTGCTGGCTGGCTGCTCCCCAAAGGCCAGGGAGCCAGTGCCAGAGCTGGCTGCTGCCTGCTGGTCCTGCCAGGACAGCTTCCCGCAGGACTGTCCCTGCCAGGCACCATGGTGGGGGGGGGAAACTCAGCCCTTGGCTGGGGAAACCTCCCGCCTGGCTGCAGGGAGGGAGCCACTTGTGTTGGCCCTGTGTGGGGATGTGCCCAGCACCTGGCAGCACGTGTCTGCGAGGATGGGCAGGTTTTTGGGGACACCGGTGGCACTGGGCTGTCCCCATCAAATGCTGTTCATCCATGTGCGAGCAGGGGGTCCCGCTTGCCATCTGGAGGGGCTTGGTGGCAGGCAGCACTTCACAGGGTGAGGTTTTGGATGGCCAGAGATAGTGTGGGCAAAAGATGCTCACGTTGAGGGTTTTAAGACATTTTTTAGCAGCAGCCTGTGTGTTTGGGTTTTGCAGCATGTGCCTTTGCTCAGTGAGCATCTGAGGGGAGTACTCCCATTTTCTGCTGTAGTGCAGGCAAGAAAAGCAGCTGGGGAGGTTGACTGCAGGCTCTGCCATCGCTGGAGGTGTTCCTGCATCCTGTTTTGGGCTGATTGTGCAATGAAGTTGTAAGGGTCAGCTTGCCCAGTGGGTTAGGCAAGGATAAAAAATGGCCACGTCAACGTATACATTTTTCTTATCCACCCACATGGCATTTTTTGTGCGTTGGGGGTGGCCTCTAGAGCTGAATGTGGTGATTTACCCAGGAATCAGCACTGGGGTTTAAAGCAGATATTTTTGCTTGCATTCAGGTTTCTGGAAACACGAGTGCATCATCTTAAAAAAAAGGTTTCTTGTTTATATTTTTGTCCTTTCCAAGAAGAAAAAAATCTATTTTTAATAAGTAGCCAGTGTGGCCAAAGCAGTGGGAGGGAGCAGCGCCGAGCCCAGCTACAGCTGCTGGACTTGGGGCGGCCACAGCACGCAGGCTACGTTTATTCAACCCCCTTATTTTCCTGGCTTTGGTGGGAGAAACAGAGACCCTCATGACCCTCAGAGTACCTCTCCATCCAGCGGTGGCGTTTTTTGCAGCACAGCCAAGCGCCTTGAGCTTCCCATATTGGGCTGAGCACCACAGCCGGCTGCAGGGCTTCTCCTTGGCCCCTGATTATCTTTAGCAAAATGGGAATAACTCTGGAAGAAACAGTCTGATGGGATTGTCTCTTCTGCGCCCCTTGTGATGGATTTCTGTGACAGGAACTGCTCCTTGCCAAGCACGTGGTGAGGCCAGGAGAATTTGATTGTGTTTCTCTGCCCTTTTCAATGGGAAGGAAATTCCATCAGAATTTCCATCAGAAAAACCTCAGACAGTATTGCTGCTGCCATCAATGTGAACAGAAGAAATGTCTCAACCATGGGAAAACAGCATCTGACCTCAGTGAAACCCCAAAATATTACAAACCTTTTGAATGCTCTAAGGAAACTTTTCTTCCAGCTCCCTTTACTGACATGCACTTCAATGGGAAATAACTACACCACCATCCCCCCCCAGCCCAGCTCAGCCATGTCCTGGGAGTTTTGTCATCCTCCCCAGCACTGTCCCAAGGATTCGAGCATACAGGATGGCATGTGGAGTGCAAGCATTAGCATCCACCTGTACTGTGCCCCCAAACTTGCTACAGAGACCTTAAAGCTGCAGAGTAAGCAAGTGGTTTGCAGTTCAGTTTTTTCTGTTTTCACACACTGAAATACAAAGCTGCAAAGAGCTGGTGTTTTGTGTTAGCAGAACGCATGAAGTTTCTGAAAACAGGAGCTGAACCTGCAACTGGGGAGGGGAGGCAGCACCTGCCCTCTGCTGTCCCAGGCCCGATGCTGTTTCACCTAGAGCAAAAAGTGTGTTCATTATAGTGTGAAAACTTTCAGAGCCTTCTTTTTGGAAAATAAAATGAGTGCCTGAGTGTTAAGGTATTTATAGCAACAGACATGTACTTGTCTGTGTATATATGGATACATACACAAGTGTTGTGCAACTCATGTATGTTCAAAATAACAAAACCAGTACAAGTGCAGCAGTTCCCTGCTGACACACAGCGCCATCTGCCTCTGTTGCATATGGCAAATTTTTAAGCCCAAACGTGGGGTTTTTTGCAGGTTCAAGCAGTGTGTGCAGTGGCCGGGAGGTAGGCAGTCATCGGCAGCGTAGTGCTGGGAGCAGCATGCCTCCACGCCATCCAGATGTCTGACTGTCCGGGGACACTGATTTGACTTTCGCAGAGAGCTCAATACCTGAGCTGAGCGTGCAGGTTGTTAGTGGGTGCCTCTGCAGTGAACCCAGGGTGTCTGCCTGCTCTCCTCCCAAAATGGAGCCTTTTGGGGGGTTTATTTGTTTTTTCCTCCTGTTTCTGTCATGTGGCTGTGTTTGAGGGCTC